TTGAATTTATAAATTTTGATACTGCACTTCACTTTACTCATTTTTAGTACTTTTTTAATTGAAGAAAAGATAAGAGATAGTTGAATTCCAACTTAAAACGAGAAAGTGTTTGTTGGTGAAGAGTCCAACCACCAAAACAATCATTTTCTTTTTATTAAATAGTTTCATATGATGAAAAGAGTTGAGATTACATTTTTTTTATATTTTAAAAACACCTAAAAAGTCATATTCGAGCTTAGGAAGTTTTTTTGTTTCGAGTGGATTTCAAATTTTAGGATAATTTTTATGTTTTTCATGGCCATGAATTAGTTTAGTAATGTCTCTAAGGTGTTTTCTAAGTGTTTTAGGCCAACAATTCGTTGAAACGAGTTTTTGGATAAAAAAACAAATTATCCCACTTTCCTAGCCATCACAGCGACTAAATTTTAGGAGTGAACAAATGACACATCATTTGTTTATCTAGGTTATGCGTTATTTTTTTTTTATGCATAGGGCACACGATATCTCGCCCATCCCATTAAATTTCAAAAAAATATATAGGTTTGAGCCCGGGGCGCTACTTGATTGGGCCACACTCTAAGGTGTCGTTTGGTAATACGGCAGGAATTGAGGTGCAGCCAAAACGCAAAAATTACATGTTTGGTTACGTTTAAAACGTGAGTTCAAAATGATGGGACCCACCCCTTAATGGTTGAACCTGTCGTTGGAAAAAAGTGGCCAGTAGCTGCTGCTGACCACCAGCAACCCATCGACACTATAAAAAAAAAAGTTGTTGGATAATTAACACACCCCTGCTCTCCCATCAAAACTCCTCTGCAAATCAATTCAAACGGCTCCTTAAATATTATCCTCCCTACTCATTCATTGTCAAAAAATTCAAGGAATCCTATCTTGCCGTTCGCAAGTTCCATAGCGTCAACGAGATTGTATACTCCGTTCACTGTTCACCATCCTTTCTTCCCACCTAGCAGATCCCTCCTCCATTTTTATCCTTTCTTGCTAAGCTCCGGAGCTTGTGAGGTCGCTGCAAAATTACAGTGGTTGCCACTGTGTGTACCTCCTCCCTGTCATTTAAAAACCAGGTGAGCTTACAAACACACACACAGCAAAAAAATTGTCTAATCTAGTGTAAAAAATAATTGTCCCTTCTATTTTTCTACCCGAAACGACTTGTCATGCGCTTGATGTTGTAGATCTGCTCAATATAAAGGTATATTGCCATTTGTTTAATTTTGAAGTTCATCTGCAGCATGTTAAAATAATTTTTCCATTTGTATTTCTTCTCACAATGTGTTCGAGATTGTTGTTGTCATGCTTACAGAGCCGATTTTTGTGAGAGGCAAAAGAACAAGGGGACGAGAAATTACTTGGACAAAAAGGAGATGGTTCTGCAGTAGAGAGTATGTTTTTTGTTAAAATTTTACGCCTCCCTAAAGATAATTATAGATATGTATATATGTTTAGGTGTTGTGTATTGTTCTAGGTTACAATATTTATGAATATATTGTGCTGTAAGGATTGTGAATTAAGCATAACATTTTGCTTGCATAGATGCTAATATGAAAAAAAAAAATCAATGTTGTGATATTAGGTTAATTGACCATCTATGTGTTTTAAAATTTTTGCAGAATTTGTTCTGATAATTGTGTTTAATTCAGATAATATTGTTGCCATTTGAGTCATTGTTGCCATTTGAGTCAAATATGTGCTGCTTCATGTCTTTTTATAGTGTTTATGCCTTGATCCTATAGAATTTGTGAATACTTATTTCTTTAGTGATTTGAGAACTAGGAGGTGATGGTCATAGAAAAAAAAATGTTTAGAATCTGTTTGATGTGTTTATGCTTTCGGCTGGAAACTAAGCTAACTGCTAATGAATTTCAATTACCTTGATGATGTATGAAGATGTGTTGTATTGATATGTGTTGTTTGTAGGACACGTGCATATTGTATGGAATGGCTATAATTATTATGGAATGGTAATCACTTGTAAGTGAACGGAGTATACTTTACACAGTATAATAAGTTCAAAAATAGCTAAAGACAAACAGCTTTGAATGTAATTATTCTTTACAGTACTGGTTGTAGTACACCATTGTATGTCATATACACTTCATTCTAATATTACGCAAATGATTAGCATGTTATAAAAATTCATGATGTTTGCTTGCAAATATGTTATCCAAATAGGAATGGATAATTCAGAAACTATTAATAAAGCTGCCTGGAATAAAGAAATATTGCATGTCTTTTGTGACATTTGCATTAAGGCCATTGACATGGGAATGAGACTGAATACTCATTTCGACAAGGCCGGTTGGAAATATTTGCAAATATCTTTCAAAGAAATAACTGATTACGCATTCACAGAGACACAATTGAAGAACAAATAGGATGACTGCAAAAAGGATTGGAGGATATGGATGAAGCTCATTTTAGAAACTAGTGTGGGCTGAAGTGCAGAATTAGGAATAATTTTTACAAGTGATGAACGGTGAAAAATAAAAATTCAGGTTATTTTGCTTATTTTACTGCTCTTTAATTTTTAATTTTATTAAATCTCAGTTCAGTAATTATTAAAATATTTAGGCAAGTTGCATTAAATAATTTTAAATGTTCTATGTAGAAAATAAGAGGTGTAAAAAATTTTAAACAAGCTAGTATCGAACTGTGTTTACTATTAAAGTTCGACAGAATGTTATGGAGCAATTATTCCCTAAACCCACGGATCGGATGCCTCTGCTTCCTGCAAAAATAATAATAAAGCCTGATTGCATACTGGTTCGTGGCTATGGTTCATAAATCTTGTAATTGAGGAAACCAAGAGACAAACATACTGGAGCAGACAGCAGTGTGAGAGTACGCGCAAATTTAGCACTAACAGAACCATTGACATGCAGAAACAGTACGCTTGTTGTGATAATATTAGGACAAAATCTATAAATCTGTTCATAGTTTTAATTTCATATCTAATGTTTTCTTTACACATGCATTTTGACTCGATTCTCTCATGCATTAATTCTTAATTATATATCTACTTACTGCTGCTAACATTGGAGAGTCAACTTGCTTTTTCAAGAAAAACAAACTTCAGACATCAAGTTCATATTCAAGCTCGCGTGACTAGACCAAAATCACAGCCCGTGAAAAACCTAACTTTTAAGTGAAGACTTTATCAATTGCTATTCGATCTTTTGAAGTGAAAATTATCTATCGTGTTTTAGCTAGATTGGAACCAAAACCCCTATCCATTAACGGGTATTCTATGTTTTGCAAAGAAAGCTGGGACCATTGTTTTTATTCTAATTAGAGCACCAGCAATCATCAATATGCCATGTGTGTTGATGCTAAACAAGGCAAACAAACCTAGCTAGTGATGAGTAGGAATCAAACCCTAGAGAGAAATAATACATGGTGTTAGGAAACCTTAAGGAAATGTAGCCAGACTCTTTCTCCTTCTATATAAACATCTTATTCACCAAATCTTTCATTCAAAAAATGTGTGAAACGGCAACTGCCACCTTTCACAATGTTTCCTTACTCAAAGAGAAGAGAAGTCATGAAGAAGATGAAGATGATGACATGCAAAAGCTGTTTAAGTTTCCTTTCATTCACATTAATGATATACCAGAAAGAAAAGTTCAGGTTAGGGTTTCATTCTAATTATTCGTCATTGAACTTTCAGCCTTTTTGCTGAAGATAGCCTGAAGTAATTAATATCCCTGATCTTGTACTGATTTATCATTCCTTTGACATTGCATGACATCTTTTCCACATCAATAGCTTTTCTATGTTGACGAGGATGAATGGAGCAGAGCAAGAGGGCTTCCATTTCCATTTGAATTAATTTTCACTTGTCAAAGTGAAAATTTCTGGTTCATGCAACGAGGCCTTATCCTTCTCTTCAATCCCTCTACTAGAGTCTTCAACTTCATTTCTCGGGTTTTCATGTTTGAGAGCTGTAGCTTAATTTCGCCATGGTTGTGGTTTGGTTATCATCAACCACAAGATGATTACAAGGTGATAATCAATCTTAATTCCATCTTTAAAGAGATGATGGTCCATGAAGTATGGTGTGAAGGAAATTATTTCAGTCAAATTCTATCATTTTTAAACAACATTAGTTATAATTTGAAGTCTTTTTTAATTTGAATTAATTTTAATATCAACTTGACTTAATTTAAATGATCAAGTAGTTTAACTAAATTCTACTCAATTTAATTCAAATCTATTCAAATGAACACAAAAATTTTTTTAAGAAAAATTTAAATATTTATATTAAAAGAAAATAATAATAAATTCAGAGTAACATGCATATTGACCCGAACACCCTATCCATTCTCCACCACTGTCCATGTTAAGATCTAAAAAAATTAACATGGACACCCACGTTAATCTTAAAAAAAAAAAAAAAAAACTCAAAAAAATGGTCTCTTTCTCTGCTCTGATATTGTGGAGAAACTTAGTTGATCTAGAAACAATTGTAGAAGAAAAAAGGATTAGCAATAATGTGCTAATGTTCTTATACACACTAAAAAATATGAAATGTAATGTCCATTGGCACCTTAGGAGCTTTGTTGACATTATGTGGTGCTGTTGATCAGTTTTGAAGTAAATTGACCCTTGCTTACGTTTTAAGTAAATCTCAAATTCCTCGCTGATTTTACTTTCTTTTGTCCTGGGCAGCCAGGTTGGTTCTTTCTTTGGGGGCTGAAGCTAAACTTGATACTGTACCAGGTGCTGCAGAATTTGCATTTCCATTCTCCACCCTTGAGGATGCCTGTGTAAGAGTTTGGCTGTTTGACTTCATGCATTGGACAAAAGGGAATTCATTTGTATTCACTGCCTTTCCTTGCTGGTATCTTTGCAGAAGGTTGACAATAAGTTGAAAGAATTAGAGAGGAGGGAGTTTGGCAAGGACTCTCTGATTCGTGTGGCTGTTGTTGGCTGTGGTTACTCTGGAGTTGAGTTGGCTTTTTTATCTTGTTGAGGAAAGTTGAGAACTTTTTGTGTTTGGCTGTGTGCAGCTTGTGATTCATGAGATTGATGATGCCGCTGCTACTCCTCTTCAGGCTGGGAAATTGCTCGCTTTGTATCTCTCAAGCCCTGAAAACAAGGTCCCGTTCTGTTGGATCCGTTGTTGTTTTTTACCAAGTTTTTTAATTTTTTGTGATCTGTTAAGATTCTCGCATTATTGATTTGTTTTTCGTGCTGGTGAGTGAGATCTGTTTTTTGTTTGTGGGATTTTAGTTAAGAAAAGATTCTGTTTTTGGGCTCTTAATTTTAGGGAATTCAAGTGTTTAGAGTGTAATGCTGTTTTGGGGTTCTGGCGAATCAGTTTTGGGTCGAATGATCTGATTTTGCTTAGTTTGGTTCTGGTTATTATTTTGCAAGTTTATGTAAGAGTTGCTGATTAGTGTGTGCAATGTGGGATCCCGGTGGAGTTTCGAATGATTTGATAAGAATCTGAATACGTGCAAATAATTGAGAGTGTATGCTCAATTTTTCAAGTTCTTAGATCTGCCCATTTGAAAGAATGAAAGAGACAGATAATAAAATTTCCATGGCAAATGTGGTGTGAATCTCACCATTGTGTTGGCTCGATGTATTTTCTTATATGTTGATTCTTGTGTTTGCACATGTAGATCTAGAAAGGGAAGCTATGTGTTAATGATCTATGGATTCTTGGTGCTTGTAACATAAACTGGAAGATATACAAACCCAAATTGCTATGCTTATTTGAGAGTTGCTAAATAGCGTGTTAAAAATGGGGATTATCTTAGAGTTTAGGGTGATTTAAAATGAACCATTTGAGAACGGATGGTTCATTTTTTTAAGACTGTACATCTTTGGTTTTGAGAAAATATAATCAAACTTTGTTATGGCAAATATTGTGAGAATCTTACACCTGTGTTAGTACAACATATATTCTTATATGTTGATTTTTGTGTGTTTGTGTGCATGCCTACTTGTTTGCATGTCTAAAAATTAGAAACAGAAGTTGAGTTTTAATGATTTGGTTATTTTATTGTATGTAAGGTGAAGTAAAAGAAATAAAGGTCAAGAATGTGTGAAGTCTGTCTTAGTGATTGCTTGTAAATTAAACAGGAATCCACGATTTCAAGCTTGAAAGAGTGGTTGGCTGATTCAGCTATTGCGAACAATGCTATCTTGAGGTTGATTGCTGGAATCATATTCATGCATGAGGAGGATTACAATGAGGCTCTGAAACACACTAATGCTGGAGGCACAATGGAACTGTGAGTTCAATTTGATGTAGAATTGTTTAGCATATTATGCAACTAAACAACTAAACATACTTGCTCCCCCTGTTTAGAATGCTTAGCATTTTCTTGGTTCTTGTTCATTCATTAAAGTGTTGGTGCAGAAATGTTATTGATATTCTGGTGTATCTACATGCATATGTATGTTGCAGGAGTTAGTTTTGTTGGTTTTGTTATGGCACTTATCTCATTTCTTTTCATGTTTGAGTTAAATTGAAAATACCATGAACCAAATGATGGGACTTTTCACATACTTAGGCAAGGAAATCCCAGCAGATCATGAATTGCCACATCTGTATGCGCATGTCAATGAGATAAAACAAAATTCTTGCTGGGTTTACCTTTTATTGGTTTCTAATCCTGATGCATGCTGTTTCTCCCTTTGCAGACATGCATTGAATGTCCAAATATTCCTCAAGATGCACAGGTCAGACTATGCAGAGAAACAGTTGAGGATCATGCAGCAGATTGATGAGGACCACACACTAACTCAACTTGCAACTGCATGGTTGAATCTGGCAGTTGTAAGTGCATCTTCTCTGTTTAGTTATAATTAGTTAGGTTTTAAGGAATGATGACATGCTGATATGCTGTTATATAATCCAGGGTGGTTCAAAGATACAGGAAGCATATCTCATCTTCCAGGATTTCTCTGAGAAGTACCCAATGACAGGGTTAATCTTGAATGGAAAGGCTGTTTGTTGCATGCACATGGGTAACTTTGATGAAGCTGAAACACTGTTGCTTGAAGCACTAAACAAGGCAAGTTTAAGACAAAGAACCTTGTAATGTCTGCTGAGATCACGACTCACAACACCATGTTCAGTTTTCTGTAACATGACAAAACTGACTGACTGTTTATGAAATGTAAAACTAATACATGAATGCAGTGTGTAATTCATATAACTGACTGGGTTTTCCTTGGTACCTGCAACAGGATGCAAAGGATCCAGAGACACTAGCCAATTTGGTTGTATGCAGTCTTCACATTGGCAAATCTTCTTCACGTTATCTCAGGTTAGCTATCTCTTGCATGATCAAGTGTAACATCATTCTACACTTTTGTGTCACATTAAAATGAATTATTTTATGATCCGAATCACTTTGTCCTAAATGCTTTGCCAAAACAAGAAATTAAAGCATGGGAAACAGGGCAAGCCAGAAAGTTTGTCAACATGTTTGTACTATTGTTGGGTCAGCACAAGACAATGATGTTAGGAGCTTACGCATTTTTTGAAAAAAGTTATTCAGTTTACCTTTGTTGTGACTTGTGATAACTGTCCCCTAGCACTAGCTAGGAATTGAGTTTTACTTTATTGTTCATCCGAAACCAAAAGGGAGCATAGTGTCTTGCAGGGTGCGCTACCCCAGAAGGATATATATGAAAGAAAAATAGAATCAAAGAAGTTTTAATTCTGCGCTTTCAATTAATTGTTGGGACAACATTGGGCATGCTGTGTGGTTCTTTATTTCAATGATGCTTGCCTATTATCCATGCTGAAATAAAAGGGCTTAGACCCATTGCTTTTACATTCAGCTTCAAGAAGTTAGCCTTGCATAGCATTTGGTCTGCAATTTTTATAAATTAGTTACCCAGTGCTCACCCCCAATTGCTTTTGCATCTTCTTGAACTTCTCTCCTATTTTCTATGACCATATCTACCCAAGTGTGCATAATCTTAGATATTTAAGAAAACAACAAATGTTTCATTCGGGCTATAACATGTTTTTTGTCCCAACGAGTTTTTCATCTGTTTAATGTCTCTCCAAGATCCATTTCGAGATTCTCTTGTTAGATCATATTAATGAAATTGCCCCGTGTTCTGCAGCCAACTGAAGCTCTCACATCCAGACCACGTTCTTGTTAAACGTGCGTCATCCGCCGAAGACAACTTTGAAAGAGCAGTTCAGTCAGTTGCTTGATGTTTTGTGGTTTTGGCGGTAGTTAACGAGGTGAAAGCTGTTGCTTCACTTTTGTCACAGTTGTTTTTTGGGATTGTATTTAACAAGGTGAAAGCTGTTGCTTCACTTTTGTCACAGTTGTTTTTCGGGATTGTGCAAAACCTTTTATAAAGCCAAGAGATATATACAACTGAACCTGGAAAGTATGTTTTTGATGTAGAGCTCAAATCTACTTATTAGTGGTATTTGCCATAGTCTTGTTTGATAAAGTTTGTTATTTTTGCTGCTGCATGTAATTGAAACTTGACAGTGCTCTTTTTCTTCTTCTTCTGATGTGGTCTTGTAATATGCCGTCGCATCCCTCTACACATTCATTTATTTAGTTCTTAGAAATTGGTTTCATTTTGAAAAGTGATTTTATTGAAAAATAAATTTTTAAAAAAATATTTATTTTTTCATGTTTGTTAGTATTAAAAAATATTTTTTAGTATTTGGTATGAGTTAGAAAATAAATTATTAAGATTTTTTTTTCATGAAAAAAATTTACAAATTAAAAAGTTGAATTAGTATAAAATTAAAAAAAAAAATTATGAATTATTTTAAATAAAATAAATAATAATTAATATAACATAAAGTTAAAAATTTAATAAATTATAATTATATATTTTGAATAAAATAAATAATAATAATAAAATAATGATGAAGTTTGATAAAAAAAATTTTAATTAAAATAATAAATAATAATAATTAAAAATTTGATAATCAAATTTGATATAATATTTTTTATATATTTTTCATTTAAAATAACAGGAAAATATTTTTATAAAAACTAAACTAGATTTTTTTTATGAAAAATATTTTTTTATTAACTAATTTTTCCAATAATAGCTAAACACAAAAAGAAAAATAAAATATAATTTTTAAAAAACCATATTTCACAAAACAAACGAAGTTTTAGTTTTCATTTCGCCACGCGGGGCACGTCTTATGCGAAACGCAGTTTGCACCACAGGTCATCAATTGCAGCAGTGTTTCGACCAATATACATACGTTAATCAAAACCAAACCATTTGACCATGGAAATCTTTGCAAGAAGACCTTACAAAAATACAGGGACTTGACCTTGAACTTTCCATCAATATGGATGGAACTCATGCATTCATGGCTCAGAGAGAAAAACTCAAGCCATCACTGTTTCTTTCTTTCCTTCTTTTCTTTTCTTTTTTTGTTTATTGACGATTATTCAGCTTCTATTATTCTTCAGAATTAACATTTTATGGACTTTTATACAAGGTTTCCATGGTTGAAAATATGGATTGTGGAAAAATCATACCACATTAATGGAGGAAATTGATGCTGGTCTTTCCTTCAGGCCATTCGTCAGAAATTACTGATCTTTGAACGTTTGACAAACCTCGTATTAGTCCTGCAACCATGCAGAGCTTCTCGTTTCAATCCCTAACCACAGATCATATCATTCTACCTTTCTTCAACTGTATCTTTTTGTTAAAATAATTGGAGATGGTGATAAGCATGCATGCTTGCGTTTCCTAATTAAACCTGTTTTCTAGAAATCGTGGGTGCAAAAATACCAAGTCATAGCTTGCAATTCAAGATAAGTTTAGGCAAATTGTAGCAAAATTGGAGCAATTTTATACTACCAAATGCTCTTGTGTTTTGAATGGAGGGAAAATTGGGCATTGTCACATCTAAGATTTGGGCAAACTAGGGTCGATAAATATTAGGAAACAGAAGAATTTGATTGCATATCATATAAAAGGACTTGTATATTCCTAATTTGTAATAAAAATTGTGAAGATTCCTATAAATTGCTTCGCACAACATATTTCCCTGTGAGTTTCAATCGCGGGGTCTGAAATATTTAGTTATAGATAAATAGGAACTAATTGATAAGGAAACACTGAATCTAATGAGGGCTCGACTGATAAATTGATGGTTGGATGACTATATCAAGAAACGTTTTATATATTCGGAGAACTAATTTGAGGTTTGCCCCAGAATTACTATCAAACCATGTATGAAGCTGGGATCAGTGTTTTCAACCACCGTATTCACAAACTTGTATTGTTATGACCATAACCAAAGCTTGCAAGAAGTTTCCTGTGAATCAACCAGAAGTCTATCCAAAGAAACTTGACCTAGCAGAAACAAATGAAAAGGGAAATTTTTTATTATCCTGTAGATTATCGATAAGTATGCCTCTCATGGATGACTGATGAGGGGAAGAAAATTAAGCCATCATAATGTTATTTATTTCTTTTCTTGATTAACCATGTATAATCAAATCTGTTACTTGACGTGTATCAATATCTATTGTTTTAAAAATAATTAATAATATTACAGATAGAATATTTTATCGTTATTTAAATATCGATTTTATTAGTCAATACCAATAAAAATAATGAGATAATATTTATCAGTAAATATTTCTATAATTTACTATTAATATTGTTTATGGAAATTTGAATTTAACAATTTTCTGGTAGTAGAAGCTCCATTGATAATGATCATGATGGAACGATTAATAGCACAGCACCATGCCTTTCTCTTTCGTTTATATATTTTATCATTTCCATGCATGACTTCAACCATCCATGCTTACATATATCTACGCTCATCTTTATTGACAATATCGCTAGATATGCAAAATATTCAATGAATGCGACGGGGTCTAGAGGAAGTGTACGTTGTTGGGAATGGTAAAAGTATGCATTAGCATTGATAAAATAGGGTTAGGGTTACTTGCCCTAAAAGAAACATTCCTTGGCTCCCTCCCGTTCCATCTATAAATACAGCCATGCATTCAAGGTGTAACAACACTCAAGCATTGCCTTAAAATGAAGGTTTCAATGGCTGTAATTCTCTCGGTATTCTCAGCCCTCTTGCTGTCTGTATCACTGGCAGCTAATTCTGATCCAAGTCTTGACAAGTTTCTACAATGCCTTCCAAATAATAGCCTTCCCTCTTACCCTATTTCTGAAGCCATCTATACCACTGCCAACCCCTCTTTCGAGTCTGTTCTGCTGACATACATCAACAACCGTAGATTTCTGACCCCAACAACACCGAAGCCACTTGCGATAGTCACTGCCCTGCATGAATCCCATGTCCAAGCGACAGTAGTTTGTGCAAAGTCTCATGGCTTGCAGGTTAGAATCCGGAGTGGTGGCCATGATTACGAAGGTCTTTCTTATGTGTCTGAGGTCCCATTCATCATCCTCGACATGTTCAATCTCCGATCCATCGACATAGATCTTGCCAGCGAAACGGCATGGGTTCAAGCTGGGGCAACTCTTGGTGAAATTTACTACAATATTGCAAACAAGAGTAACGTGCATGCCTTTCCAGCTGGTGTTTGCCCTACAATTGGTGCAGGTGGTCATATTAGCGGAGGAGGGTACGGGACTCTGATGAGGAAATATGGTCTTTCGGTGGATAATGTCATTGATGCGAAAGTAGTAGATGTGAAAGGTAATATCCTTGATAGGCAGACAATGGGGGAAGATCTATTTTGGGCCATCAGAGGAGGTGGTGGAGCAAGCTTCGGAGTCATTCTTTCTTGGAAGATCAATTTGGTTCGAGTTCCGGCTAAAGTGACTGTTTTCAAGGTTGATAGGACCTTGGAGGAAGGTGCAACTGATATCTTTTATCAGTGGCAACAAGTTTCCACTGAGCTAGACAAAGAGCTTTTCATCAGAGCAATGCCACAAGTTGCCAATGGAAGTGTCGAAGGTACAAAGACGATTAGAATCTCTTTCTATGGCCTCTTTCTCGGACAAAGTGGAACCCTTATTTCCATGATGAACAAGCGCTTCCCTAAATTGGGTTTGCAGCAAAGCGACTGTATCGAAATGAGATGGATAGAATCCACACTTTTCTGGTTTGATTTGCCAAATGGTACGTCCATCGATGTTCTCCTCAATAGGCCTCGTGGAGCGCAAAGCTATTTCAAGAACAAGTCTGATTACGTCAACCATATTGTTCCAAAGGAAGCTCTGGAACGCATATGGAAGATGATGATCAAGGCCGAGCCAATGTGGATGCAATGGAACCCTATTGGAGGAAGAATGAGTGAGATTCCGGATACCGCAACTCCATTCCCTCACAGAGCAGGATACCTCTTCAAACTCCAGTACTCCATAAACTGGAGTGAAGAAGGGACCGAGGCCACAGACCGCTACATAAGTCTGATAAGAGAAATGCATGATGCAATGGCTCCATATGTCACCAAATTCCCAAGGGAGGCATTTCAAAACTATAGAGATCTTGATATTGGCAGCAATCCGAGCAATCAGACCAACTTCGAGGAAGCTAAAGAGTATGGCCTCAAATACTTCAAGGGTAACTTTCTAAGATTGGTGAAAGTCAAGGGAATGGTTGATCCAGATAACTTCTTCAAGCATGAACAAAGTATTCCTCCCCGTTGGATGTAGTAAAAGTCTACAAGTCTATTGTTTTGAAATTAAGTTTAATATTGTGTATTGTGATTTTTTTGGGCTTTTTTCCCATAATAAAACTGTGTTGCAAGATTTCTTTAAGCTAATAATAATCTCACCGCTCAGAAAATAACATAAAATTATTTTTAAAATTTCATTGAAGTTTTTGAATTGATCTTTCTATTAATTATGATTTATTACATGTTAAGGTGAATATGATCAAAGCCATTCTCAGTTTACGGAGATAATAATTTATTCTTGAACTAAACAATTTTTTTTTGCTTAATTACTCATTTCAAACTAGCTGGAATACTTTGTTCATACTTGAAGAAATCATCAGGATCTACCCTTGACTTGACTTTCACCAATCTTATAAAGTTGTTCTTGAAAAGCTTGTTGCCATAGACTTTAGCTTTCTCAAAGCTGGTCTGGTTGCTAGGGTTGCTACCAATATCAACATCTCTATAGTTGAGAAATGCCTCCCTTGGATTGCTACTCACATATGGTGTCATTGTATCATACAGTTGTGTTATCAAATCTATGTAATGGTTGGCAGCCTCAATTCCTTCTTGATCACTCCAGTCTACGGAGTACTGAATCTTGAACAAGTTTCCAGCTCTGTGAGGAAATGCAGTTGCTGTAGCTGGAATCTCATCCATTCTTCCTCCGTAAGGATTCCATTGCATCCATACTCGCTCTACCTTGATCATCGTCTTCCATATTTTTTCCAAGCCTTTCTTTGGGATGGCTTTTTGTACATAATCAGATTTCCTTTTGAAAAAGCTTGCTCGGGTAGGCCTATCGAGTAGAGTTTCAATGGATGTTCCATTTGGAAGACCGAACCAGTAAAGTGTGGATTCTACCCAGCTCATTTCATTGCAATCTTTCTGTTGCAAACCCAATTCAGGGAAGCTATTTTTCATCAAGGGAAGAAGTTTGCAGCTCGGTCCTAGAAAGAGGCCAATGAAGGAAACCCTGACAGTCTTGTTACTCCCGGAGCTTCCATCGACTACCCGTGGCATGACTCTTATGAAAAGTTCTTTGTCCAGTTTACTAGCAACTTCTTGCCACCGGTAAACAACATCCGTTGCACCTTGCTCCAACGTCTTAGAGACAGTAAATGTTGTCACTTTGGGGGGAACATCAACCAAACTGATCTTCCAAGAAAGGATGACACCAAAGCTTGCACCACCACCTCCCCTGATTGCCCAAAACAAATCTTCTCCCATGGACTTTCTATCAAGGATCTTGCCATTGACATCAACTATTTTCGCGTCGAAGATATTATCAATCGAAAGACCATGTTTTCTCATCAAAGGCCCATAACCCCCACCACTGAAGTGTCCTCCAGCACCAAGAGTCAAGCAAACACCAGCCGGAAAGGCAAGCACATTGCTCTTATTGGCAATATTATAGTAAAGTTCACCGGTAGTTGCCCCGGATTGAATCCAAGCTGTCTTCCCCGCAACATCTATGTCGATAGAACGGAGGTTAAACGTATCAAGAATGACAAACGGAACATTAGATACGTATGAAAGGCCTTCATAGTCGTGTCCACCACTACGGATTCGGATTTGCAAGCCATTAGACTTCGCACAAATAACAGTTGCTTGGACATGGGATTCATGCGTGGCAGCTATGATTGCAAGCGGTTTTGGGGTTGTTGAGGTTAGAAATCTGCTGGCTTTTGCATATGCTCGCAAAGTAGGTTCGAAAGAGGAATTAGTAATCCTGTAAATGGCTCTAGAAACAGGGTAAGAGGAATCACTGTGGCTAGGAAGGCATTTTAGAAACCTGTCAAGAGATGTATCAGAAGTTGCTAGCGGTACTAAGACCAAAAGAACTGAAAATACAAAGAGTCTCAGAGACATTGAAGCCTTCATTTTTTATGGATATTATGCTTCAGGCTTCATTTGCAGACACATTGCATGCCTGTATTTGTAGGAAGCAAGAGATGAAGGCAACTCTCTATTAATTAGTCCAAAGAAACCGCATCACAAAATATTCAATGCTTTCTCCATTAATCCAAAGTAACAGTATCACAAAATATTCAATGCTAATCCAAAGTAACAGTATCATAAAAATATTCAATGCTTTCTCCATTAATCCAAGGTAACAGTATCACAAAATATTCAATGCTTTCTCTATCTTGCGTGTCAAAGACTTTGAATATTTAATTTGCGTATATCTTGGAATGTTTCTTTTCAGAAATTCAAGAGGCTGACTGACACATAAAAAGTCTTGCATACTTAGCTGGCTCACACATTATCATAAATGCATTGCGAAGGAAGAACTTTGGCAATGCTATGGTCCATTATGCACAGTACTTGCAGGGGTATGTTCTGGCTTGATAACAAGTTGTGAGAAAGTTGTAAAAACCCGGCCGGTCATCACCTGGGTTATAGATTAAATAGGTTAATTTGAATTAATTAAAATAATATTATTTTAATAAAAAATTAAAATTAAATTAAATTTTAACTAAACTAATCTAATTTAACCTTATTAATTCTCTCTTAAAAATCTCGGTTGGGTCAATTACCAAGTTGACCCGCTAAGTAGAATTGAGTTTAAGAATGCTGTTAGAAAAGATTTTTGAATTAATAGCGTTTAAATATTTAGAAAAAAATTTAAACTCCTTGTAATTAAGATTAAGATTGTTACGTTCCTTAATTTGGTTTAAATTAATGTTGTTCAAAATTATTATATGAAAATTTTCAGTTTATAAACTAATGAATGAATGAATATAGAACAGTAAGGAATCAAATATAAAATACTATTACGTTTTTTCAATCCCATTCAATTTATGGATTTCTGATTTGGCTAGCTAGTTTAATTAGCAAGATAATTAAAAGGGGTTGAAGCATAGTTAAAGAAAATCAACACGGCATTTGACCTATTTCAAGTCCTATTTCATAGGTGGTAAGGTGAATGCAAGCTAAGTTACTTACCTCTAAAATGTAATCTTATCAAGATTTTTTTTAAAAAATAAAGAGTTAAACAACATGGTTTAAAAAAAAATTAATTTAACCTAATTTTTTATTAGATTAATCAGATTTGACCGGATTAATTTATATTTAATTTGATATAAAACTCGGTTCAAATCAAGTTTTAGATTAATAAATTATTGAGTTGACTTATTATTCCAAACTGAATTTAATAACATTAGATTGAAGCAATGAAAAAAATACTTGAAATATTATATGTCATATTCCAAACACATGAAAATAATTATTCAATTTGAATTTATGATAGCTACAAGCATTTCTATGTGAAAGAGATGAAGTCAAGACCAGATAGTTCAAAGCTACGGCCTGTTTTAGCCAATTATACAATTTTTCAACATCTTTTAATCAAAACCTTTGTCTCCAAAATTTCTGTACCTTTCTTCTCTTTTGGAGAGATCTTGTTGCTATTAAAATTTAATTTAATTTTCTTTAAAAAAAATTAAAAGAACATCATTTTGAGAGTGTTGTAGACATTGAAGCATTCATTTTCAGGTTTTGTCTCTCAGTTCCTGGCTGCATGTTCAGACAAATTTGATTGCTGTGGGGAAAGACAGGAAGCCAACTGTATTAGTGCAAAGTTAATGCAGAGAACTCTTAGAATTCTAAAATGTTAGGATCACCCTGTCTGAGGCTCGAGTCCTGGGTTTAAAAAAGCCCGTAACAAAATTTGTTCTGGCTCGTCACGGCATGATAAGGTTTAATAACAAGGATTATAATGAGAAGGTATCTTTACTAATCTTCCAATTTCTTATGATAATTTCAAGAGGGCTGCTCTTACATAAACAAAATATTAAATCTAGCTGGTTGGTTCACACATGATCACAACTGTCAATTACAAAATATATTGTCCGAGAGAAAGAACAAGCTCTAGTCCTTACTACAATGATCGATTGTCTTGGAATGATTCTGGTTCACAGTTCTCGACAGAACAATCACCAATCATGCAATGCAAGCCTGTGCCCTCTAATACAATGAACATGTTATTTCATTTACTATAATTTTCAATGCCTAGCTGCTCTAGTCCTTCTACTCTCTTTTTTCTCTATTTCTTGAAACAAAAAATAACATAATAATTGGAGAAAAAAAACATGAAATAGATGAAATAATTAAGCAATAAATGGATTTAATAACATAGAAATTAAATATATAGTTCATGAAACTATGAAGACTAGTTAGTCAGCCAACATATATAAACTACAGGAACTTGGTTATAATTGAGTCCTGCTCGAAGTCTGAATTAATTTCCATCAAAGAATTATAACGTAGGCATAAATAATAAGAGTCCAATGACAACATAGCACCATTATTTTCAGAATATAGAACCACGATTTGCAATGGCAGCCAGGAACTGGCAATGTCAAGAGCCCTTTGGTCAACATTCTTATAAACTAGAATCTTGTAAGCCTAGCAGCTTCTTCAATGCTCTCTTTTGGTGCTTCACACACCCACTCAAGGTTTGACCATGGCAGAGCTCTACACAAAGTTCAGGTTAACTTGGCTAAATGAAATGATTCTGGAGGCAAACAGCAGAGTCCCTATTCTCAAAAAACCAGCTTTATTGAACATGAACTATGATAACCGATGTGTATGAACAAAAGGGTAGAATCAATATAGAAGCTACACCTGCGCCAGGGAATAGTATTATTGAGATATTATTGGTTGGAATACATGTAATGAATTGGCCGCTCCTAACACTATATTAGAAAGTAAAAAAATGATCTTTATCTGAAAACCACTTCTACGGGAGAATAGAAACACAACTGAAGTCGTTGCTGCATGGGGGCTGCGGGTGCCTGAGTTAAATTTCTGCTATGGACACTCTTTCCCTAAATGTTCAAGAAGCCATCACCAAAGGTGATCCATACCCATTTTGATGTGATTTTTGCCATCTCCATGCAGTCTGTAAGCTCTTCTGGAGATCTGTGTATTGCGCTGTCCAGTTCAGCTCATGGTAAATTTTTGATGGGTCACTGTATACTTCAGCATAGTCACCAGGACGGCGAGGTAAATATTCAACTTTGATATCTACACCAGTTGCCTTTTTACATGCCTTAACAAACTCCTTGACTGATCTACCTGATAATAGAAACAAGAAACAAACAACAGCTTGAGAACACAAGAAGACTGAAAAATCACGTAGAGAACAGTGAAACTTGGTCACCCACCCTTTCCAGTGCCAACATTGTAGATTCCAACTTTACCAGGCGTTGCCTTTTCAAGTGCTTTCACATGAGCATCAACAAGATCAGTAACATCAATATAATCTCTTATACAAGTTCCATCATGCGTCTTATAGTCTGTTCCTTTAACCTGCAAAGTGAAAACAACACCAACACATTCTAAGAATTTCATTCTTTGTAATGTAAATACAACAGATCAGGGCATGGCACAAAGAATATGGAAGAAATCTCTAAGTACGAAAACTCAATAAATGTCCCAATAGCCTTATTCCCAGACTCCCAAAGAGTCCAAATTTTCAGCAAGGAAATCAACACCTAAAACTAAACCAGCCGAGTTCTGAAAATCAAAGTAACAACAATTACAAAGCAGGAAGGCACAGTGTTCTACATTCTTTTTCTGAAAGATTGAATAAAGAAAATCTCCTTTTCACCAGGAATTGCAGAATCATATATTTCTACCAAAATACAAACTGAAATTTCTAATTTTTTCGCAGGTTAGCCTTGAAATAACTCAACAGTCAAGTTGCAATTTTGGTCTAAAGGGAAAATTCAAGGAAAAAAACAAGTAAAAGTACCTTCAGCCCAGGAATAATACCACGAGCTGCATCGAAACAAGCACCGGAAATTCGTCCATGTTCACGCAGTTCAGGTCTAGGAGCCTCACCTAACCTGCCATCTGGATCTGATCCAATCACATTGAAGTATCTGAAAGTTGATCGAAAAAGCATTCATCATTTCACACCCTTTAATAGTGAGCAGTTATCATTATTTAACTTTCATTTAATGACGGGATGTTGCTTTAAAATATCAATTTTGTATTCAAATCTTCATCTTCTGCAGTTAGTTCAAATACTGAAGGGCATTTGAGGAATACTAAAAAAAAAACAGAGATCAACTAGTAAATTGAACGAAAAGCATTTGAGAAATACTTCAAAAATAACAAGTAAGAATATGCCAGCTATTGGAAAGTCAATAATTCAAAGAAAAGGGTATAAGGATACTCAACACCAACCTCAATATCATAATTGCCATGTCTGAGTTTTTAGAAAAATCAAGGATGATATCTTCTGCCATCTTCTTAGCTTTTCCATATGGATTAATGGGTACCTGAGTTGAGGGACAAACATAATTCAGTCACCTATCATGTAACCTGATAAAAAGGAAAACAAGTTGTAGCGTTCATTCTTGCACTCTCTTGACCTAAATGAAACTGTAGACAGGACAAGCAGAAGAAAAAAGAATGCCAGTTAGAAAGTTTTTAACTCAAACCTGTGGAGTTACTTCAGTAATCGGCATCTTTTCAGGCTCCCCATATGTTGCACATGTACTTGAATATATCAAAGTCTTTACATCACTTGCAGCCATTGCCTCCAACACTACCAAGGTATTTGATGTGATATTGTGATAGTACCTGCACAACAAGGACATGCATATCATCATTTTGGACACATGATTAAGTGTATTGATTTTGACAGAGAATATAGGTTTTCAGTTAGAAGATGATCCCATATCCATACAAAGTGAACTATATGATAAAAGAAAATCTCAAGACTTGATTTACATTATATAAGTTTTCAAAATCAATGTTCAGTAAGTATTCTATAGCTTCCAGTGGATTTTCTATGATTATTGGACTAAGAAACACAATATGCAAGATACAACAGAAGTTTCAACCATAATTGGCTTCCCTAAGCTATTAGAATCAGGCTA